ATGACGTAAGTAAACGTCATTAACATGACGTCATTTTTGACGAGACAAACTCACGTCGTCATTACGTTAATATCACGTCATAAACTAACGTCGAACTGGTCAAAAACTGACTTTATATTAACGTCATTATAACGTCAGCTGGTTGCCTGGGAATATTCATATAAGAACAATTAATATATATGGTGAAATTTCTGTAAGTTTATTGATCAGTTATCAGTTTTTTAATTTTATTTTAGAAAATGAAATTTATTATAAACTATACAAAAGATTTATATGCATCTTTATTGTCGTTAAGTATGCATAAAAATATATAGTAAATATGTAGTACAAATATAGTACAAGTATATATAGTACAAGTATAGTACAAATAAAAATATGCAAAAAAATATATATAGTACATATATATAGAAGTAAATATGTACTTACAAAAAATGTATTTTTATATGAAAATAAAAGTTATTTATATATAATAATGAAATATGTGAGAAATTAATATTAATGCAAATAACATATAATAGAGAAGGTTTTTTGGATTTGACCTGTGCATTAGTGTTATTTTTATACCGATTTTTTGTGGCTATTTTAATTCACTTTTTTAGGATTTCAAAAAGTACAGACTACTCTGAAATCTTGATGAAGTGAACTAAAATATCCATAAAACGTCGGTATAAAAAAAACGCTAATGCAAATCAAAAACCCAAATTCAGGAATGTAACTATTTAATAACAAAAGAAATAAAAGTTATATAACAAATTTAATAATTCAGATTACTGTTATATAACACTTACCCTAAGTTTTATATATGTTATATAACTATCCTATAACTTTTGTCACGGTTATATTACTTGTTACTTATGCGTTATATTTACGTTATATAACTGTTATTCATATGAGTAGGAAATTACTACTAACGTCTATATAACCTGCTGCATTTGTGTAATATTACGTGTTACATTTGGTTCTATTACGGCAATGTAACTATTATATACCTGCGTTTGCTGGGATTGATACATGGGATACTTGTAAAATAAAGAGAATTTTTGGCTCAGCAGGTAATATATATGTTTCATCACATTACTATTTTCAACAGATTAGCCAGTATATTTTTAGAGAATATTGTCATAATAAAACATTGTTTGTTATAATGAGCTATAAAATCTGTAAAAAAATATTTAAATCTTCTTTTGTTAAGATACTTGGGAACGAGCTCAGGAAAAATTAACAGATGCAATGGATACATCAACTGTCTTCGATTCTGAAGATTTCAATGAAGAAGAATGGAGATTACAAATGAAAAAACACAGAAGAGATAACGCGAGAAGAATTTATAGCAACGGATCTTCAGATAAAGACAACAGATTTTCAGAAGAAGAATGTATAATTCGTCGTCGTCGTAAAGCACCAAACGATGAATGCCATTATGAAAAAAAAGTCAAAAGAATATCTAACCAAAGTAACAGTCTTTTACAATTGCCATTACTACCCAAGCAACCAATTTTACTTTCATCGCCATTACCTGGTGTTTCCAATTCGCACATAGCTTCCACGTCAAAACTTGATAAATCTCTGAGCAACATACAAATAAGTAAGTTTTTGTTGTTACATAAAGATCTATACTAATACTGTATTTATTTGCAAATTTTAGTAAATTATAGATAGTGAAACAGTGCAATATGTCAACTGATTCTGCTGCTACATTGGCATTTCCACATCATTGTTCTAATTCTCCTAAAAAAAGAAGACTATCTGAATATAATGTTGATGATTTATCTACCAGTGGTAAATTTATTTTATGAAGTGTCTTTAGTAAGTTTTATCAAATTTCTAATAAAACTATATTAAACTTTTTTTTAAGATTTTAAGAACTTTATGGTAAAAAGTATTATAATATTATTAAGAAGAACAAAATGTCTTGAAGATAAAATAAACAAATGGGAAGCTCGAGAAGAGCAAGCAGTAAACGAAGAAAATATCGAAGAAGAATTCACATTTCCTCTCGAGAATGAAGATCAATTAGTAGAGTTTGAAACAAAATTAAAAAACCCTATATTCTTCCAGAAAATGGTAAGGTTTCAAATAAAAATTAATTATAAATTTAATAAAATGATTATTTAGTTGTCGTCTATCATTAAACAATCGGAAGGCAATTTGGCAACTACACTACACTACATTACAATATTTTTAAATCAATTGGTAAATATCATATTGATATGTATTTACCAATTATTTGTATCTATTAACATTTATAGTTTATAAAACTGTGAGTATGTACGTGTGTAACATGTATTATTTGTATAAAGCACGTTTTAAAAATAATTAAAATAAATTGTTCATTTTATTTTGAATCTGTATCAGAATCTCAGAAACACATTTTGATACAAATTCAAAATATAAAATAACAAACTTTATTTAAATTGTAAATATTATCTAATATACACATTTTTTAGCTTTATATGTATTTTTTAAAGTTTTTATAAGATTTTTAAATTCAATAGTTTTGCTTTATAGATTTCCTCCTTGAAAATAATTGGTGGAAGCAAAGTAAATTTAGCAACAAATGCAATTCTTAGCAAATTAATTGCAGATACGCTTGCCACAAAATATAGTTGGTATGGAAAAAAAGGAAAAAAGGCCTTCATGGAACTATTGACATCAAAGTTGATTATAAGTGAGTATTCTATCAGTAATAATAAATATTTTTTATATTGATCTGGATTACAAGACTACAAAAAAAAGTACTATCATTAAAATTGTTTCCTTTTATTCTAGAAACTGTACATATGATTCAGACACAATGTACTGACACACAAATAACAGAAGCTGCCTCAATATGGCTTGCTCAAGCACCAACAGATTTGAAACGTGTTGAAGCCAAGAAACAACAACGAGAACTTTTCGAAAACTGTATATTAGAACAATATGAAAATAATACCATTAATTAAGAATTTAAAAAAATTTAGGTGTTGACTCCGTAATAAGTGTTACAAATAAAAATAAGACAAGTTTTCTTTTACAGTCATAGATTATATTTAGTCTTGTTATAGACTCAAATTTATATATGTAACCTTATATAAAATATATATTTTTTAAAATATATTTTATGTTTGTTAATAATATATATTCTTATATATTCTTAATATATTCTTATAATGTGTGTGTGTGTGTGTGTGTATTGATGTGTTTAATAAATATATATTAAGTATAATAAACTTTGTTTTATCAATAATAATTCGTTCTAGATAGCACAAAAGTACAAAAAACATCATAGAAATATCCAAAACATTTTTACGATGTTTAAAACATTCTGAGACAGTAAAAAAAGTCCAAAAGACATCGTAGAAATGTTTTGAATATTTCTATGATGTTTTTTGAACTTTTGTGCTGTCTAGGAATTAGTATTAAATATATGAAAACAATTTTTTTCAATATTCTCCAAATATATCTACAACATTTTTTTTCAATATTTCAAAAAGATTGCAGAAATATTGCACAATATAGTTTAAAAGCGGACATAGAAATATTGTTGCAAGCTTTCAGCAATATTCCATGAAATATTTCAATCTTGCAAAATAATATTTCTGCAATGTTGTAGTAATATTTTGTGCTGTAGGTATGAAAAATCATGGCATCAAAATATATCATCATAAATTTACATTTACGCAATTGTGCACAATCGATAGTTCTACGCTCTACGTAGTTCATAGTTGACATCGATAAATTCATATTTCGAACGACTATCGATTAACTTCGTCGGTTTCGCTCGTTTAACCAACTTACGTCTATTGGTCTGCATCATGGTCTGCATCATGGTCGTGTCAAGTAATAAAAGAAGTTAAGTTATACATGTGAATGAACTAAGAAACTTTGCATATTTGTGACTTGATTTAAGGGGCGTATAGGCTGCCCCTTATAGCCCGCCAACCACTACCGCACCTATCTCTGACTACTCGATACTTGTCCATACTCATTCACATTCGGTTTTTTGTTCGTCTCGCCGAGACTAAAAATTTGCAATAAAGATATATATATGTATATGTATATGTGTGGGTGTGTTATAAGAAATAAATAACACATCTAGGTCACTTTAAAAATTAAATTAAAATTTATTTGGTATTTATGCATATGTGACTGCACGTCACTATTTACATTTGAAATAATTTAAATAACAAATTGTTGCTGATGTAAGAATCATCGCCACAAGTTGATTAAAAACTTGATTTATTCACAATTTTTATATCACTATTACAATTTTCACTTATTTTATTATTCGCGACGCTTACAATAATTAGTTAGACAAAATGATAGGTAAAACTGACCGACTGTATTTGACTGCTTGATTCTGACTGCTCGCCTCGGTTTGAAGGCGCACTTTTATAGGGCCTGAGTTCGGCCAAGGAAGGTTCTGGAGTTTTCCTTATTTGGTAATATTCTAGAGCATTCTCGAATGTTCGAGAATAATCTAGAATGTTCTAGATTCGGCTGTGTGCTAGGACAATCATTTCCTGTGTCGAAAGATTGCCTTATATGGTAAGGTATTTCGAAGGGTCGATGGTGCGTCACGGTTTTATCGCTAACCGTCGGTTTTTATGATACTTAAAATAAACATGGAAAGTTCTAGAATCTACGCGTAGCAACTAGACTAAGCTAAACAATGGTCACACTAATTTTTGCAGGTTATGTGTTCTTTGTTTCAACATTTTATATCGTGATTTTCAATACTTTTGCATATTTTGCATTGTGTAAATGTTATTGCAGCAACTTATTTAATTGTCAATAGCAAAATATGTACTAATAGTAAACATTTTGGCCATTATGTTACCAAAATGTCATGCTAATATCTCGGCAGTAATTACATGTCTCGCGTCTGGGACGTTTCAAAAAAACGTTATTTTACTTATAATGTTATTGCAACGTACAAGTAACATAATAATCGACTTTAACACATTTCTGTTATGTTGCAAGAACTTCACAAATGAGTTGTTTCTCTAAAACGTAGAGATAAAACATTTGTTGTCGCCGAGATGTTAGCGCAACGTTTTCAACAACGTAATGATCAAAATGTTTATTGAATATAATTGTTAATACATTAAGTCTAATTTTATATAAAAAATGTATTTTTATATTTTTTTGCTCTTTATTTACGCTACAGTCAATTTATCAGAACATGAAGTTGATTAATGAAAACTTTGTTGTTTACAGTTATAAGAAGTTTATGTCCGGACATATATACACAGTGCCGCATATAAGAGCAAGAGCGTATGTTTAATTTGCATGAATATGTCCGAACTGAGGTGCGAGCACTTTCCTTTACAAACAATGAAGAAAGGATCTTCCTTAAAAGTAAATTATAAAAATGTGCATGTGACTAATATTTATTATCAATAAATTAATTTATTATTATATATGTTTTGTTGATAGTTTACAAAAAACTTCTATGTAATTCAATTTGAAGACGGGATAGCACTAGTTCCTAATAACTGGTTGCGAATATCTGAAGACCAAAAGCAACAGTTTTGCTTCTACCCAAATTACGAAAAAAAGGCTGAATAAGGCTATACAGAGTAAAGAAATACCGGATTTGAAAAATGTACAAGCTGGTTGGGCGATGTATGATGTTCTACACGTTTTTGCTTCAGCAGGTATATATATTATTTACTGATTATTATTTATTGAAATTATTTATTGAAATCCGTTCCTTCTTACAAATAAAATTCATTTGTATTTCTTCTTGACAATATCGATCTAATAAATGCAATTAAAGTAACATAAACAAGAATTTATATCAATAGCCGAGACGTAATAATAAATGAAATTAAAAGTTTTGCTTTGACTTGATTCATTAGATCAATATTGCCGAAAGAAGAATGAATTTATTGAAAACTTTGATTTTCTTTCAATATCAATCTAGTGACATATAACTTAATACTAGTCTTGATTGTCTGTTAATGTTTTATATTTATAATTTTTAACAATTACATTCAGATACTTTTGAACGAGGTCAAGAAAAATTAAGAATGACTGAAAATACATCCGATATAAACACTTAGGATGAAGAAAATATGAAACAAACACGGCATGATAGAGCTGCTGCAAAACACTTTTTACGTCTGACAATGAATCTTCTGGTACAGAAAAGAAGTCTGGTCTATTTTCTCCTTTACCAGATTCGAAGGAATTTTCTAGACCACAAAAATTGTTCCTTTTGAAAAGGCCTGCCCATATTTTAGCAACCTACGAACATCCGAAAAAGTCAAAAGCAAAATTGTAACTGAGAAGAAACAATCAAAGATATTTCTGCAAGAAACGGAAGTGATTGCTAAACAAAAGTCAGAAGATAAAAATCAGAATCAATCATCACAAGAATCAATCAATGAAGAAAATGATTATTCCATTAATGAATACAATACAGAGTTAACAATACATCAAAATAATGAAGATCAATCTCAGAAAGGTTAAATATATTGCTAATAACCTTTTTAAATACAATATTTTAGACTATAACTCATGATATTTTAATTTTTAGTGTTAAAGGAAATTTTGAAAAAACCGCATCTTAATTGAAATGACATATATTGAAAGAAGGCTCAGAAGAATAGAAGATAAAGCAAACCATATTACAAATCAAGAAATTAATATAAATACTGTCGAAGCTTTTGCTTTTGACACCATTTCTTCTATAGAAGAGTTGGAATTGAACAAAATTTGAAAAATGTAGAATTTTTCATTAAAATGGTAAGTGTTCTTTTTTATATATTACAATTATGAATTATGTATGATATTGCAATATTTACATTTTTTTTCATAGTTTTATTTTAATTATTCACATTTCATGGTAATTTATTTCAGAGAAACTTTTTGAAATTAAAAGGCGGAACAAATCTACAAGACACGATAAAAAATATATTTAAAACATTAATAAAGGACGAAATATTAATGTTACACAGCTGGAAAGAAGCTCGAGGAAAAACTGCATTACGAAATTTCAAAATTGTCAATTTAATCATAGGTAAAGGTTTAACCATTGTCAATTTAATCACAGATAAAATTTACGTTAAGGTTATATTTCGAAATTGACTGTTTCTGCTGACTTCTTCTGTCTATCTCGGCACTGTGATCAGCATAGGATAAAACAAACATCGATTACGAGATTCGATTGCGAGTAGCCGTCGTGCGTGCATCGTTCCGAGTACGCTTCCGATAGCCTAGTCAGTTCCTGTGCTCTGCTTTGTCTCCGTCTTTTATTTTGCTGTGTATACCCGCCTTCTGTTGGGCCCGCCCGGCCCGCTTGCTTGCATGCTTGCTTGCATGCGTGCTTGCACGCCTGCTTCTTCTTCCTGCCTGTCCGCGACCCATTTCTAACCTTAAATAGAAATCTTATGATTTCGTGGTGGAGAGTGCAAGTGCATGTGAACAGTGAATAGTGCTTTACCCCCTATGCAAGAGAACAGCTGCAGTATGGAATACGACGACGCCCGAGAGTTGTCCCGTCCGGACGCTTCGTCGAACCCGGGCCGTTGAGGACTCCCTTGGAGACCACATTGGTCGGACGTGGGCAGAATTCACAGTTACGTATGCTGCCTTCGAGCATCAAAAAAAGGAATTTATCAACCCAGGCCAGCCCCCTCTTTGAAAAGGGTGCTGCCGCCAAAAAAAAGTCTATAAAATCCGCCTTCGCGGATCAAGGCGTCCTGCGGGTTACTTCGCCAGAGAGCCGCAGGCCGCTGCTGATAGACTCTCCGCTCACCGCCGAGGCTAATAACAACGATAACATGACCTCTAATATGGAGAGTTTGCCCTTCGTCGACAACAACAGATATTATTTTGACTCCTTGCCACCATATGTGGTATTCATCGAAAAGATACGTACATATCATCAACATTCGCAGAGTTCAATAGCGGATAAACAGCTTTCCGTCGTCGGATTTGGTAAGCGTCTTTTCAAAGCAGACAATAACATATTTACGGATTCGTACGACCTCAAGGTCAAAGACAGCTCGAAATTTTCCGTTTGCTTCCCTACACCTAAACAAGCTAACGCCTGCGTAGAATCTTTCAAACAATTTTCCAGTGACATCGTTCCGGGCGAAAAATGGCATGCTTTCATACCCAATTATAAGGTTATAAAGCAGTTTATCACCCGCGGCATCGACGAAAACGAAGACCCTGAAACGGTTCAAGGCGCTCTAAGACCGCCCCCTGAATACAACGTCGAGTGGACGCCTCCTTTTGAGGTTACCAGAATGCGTCGCCGAGTTTGCGTCCCCAAAGCCTCCACTTCGCTCCGGAATGCTTCCATAAATAAAACTAGTAATCCTGTTGAATCTTCATATATCTATGTAGACACGGACTTATATATAGCCAAATTTAAAACCTTGCATGTTCCTGATTCACTGATTTTTATGAGCAAACGTGTTTTCTTGGACTCGCTGGTCCCTAGGATCCGCAGATGCAACGCATGCCAACGTTTTGGACACCTGGCGCAATATTGCAGAGCCGGGACTGCCCCGCATAAATTCATCTGTGAGAGATGCGGGAAGAGAGGTCATCCCGGGTCTGCGTGCGCCAACCCCGCGATGTATCAACTGCATCAGGGCCCGCCTGGATTGCGTGGATCACGAGGCCTCTTCCAACATTTATCCATCTTTTCTTAAGAAAAAAGGAGTAAAAATCATTATGGCCAGGTACAAAGTCCTTCGCCCGGAGGCCGAAGATATCTACGCCAAGTGTGGAGGCGTCCCTGGGCGGGCGAAGCGGGGTACCCCCGCGTGGTCCCGCCCCCTACATTAGGTGATTATCTGCCGGCTTCAATAACCTCAAGACCTTTTCGCCGTGCGGCGCCATCCTACGCGGAGGCTGCCGCCGATTCTTCGGTTCGGCCTTCGCTTCGGCGACCGAACCGCGCGTGCTGCGCGCGCGCCGACCTTGGTTGGCCTCCTATTCCTCACTCTTCATATTCCAAAACTCCGAAACCTCGTCCTATCCCTCCTGTCCTTCTCCCTTCATCCTCCCGCAACAACCCTCCCTCTCCCCCTTCCTTCATGGATAATCGAGATTCTAAAGTTTCAGAGATCATTAAGTTTCAACCTGTCCGTTCTTCTTCCAATAAAATTGTTTCTTCTTTCCCAGTCAACGGTAGTATAGCCCCGGCCGTCTTCTTCGAGCTCCTCCAGCGCATAAAAGCTAAATATACAGAAAAATTTGCCGCTAATATTCAACTGTCGGACACAGCAAGCCGCAACTTCATCTCCTCTATATTTGAGGTAATCTTTTCCTAATCTTTTAACTTTCGCTAATCATCTGAACACCAATGACTTTTTTAAAAATTCTACAATAAAATTGTAGAGCTCTTATCCCGCGACTTGCTGATTTGAATTTTCTTTTAGAGGAACACCGGGTCAACATTGCGGCTCTCAGCGAGACTCATCTCTCTTCACAATCCCTAGTGAATTTCGCCAACTATTCCGTTGTGTCCAGAGATAGAAATCGATTTGGTGAAGGAGTCCCTATCCTTATTGATAAAACATTCAAGTTTGAATTAATCTCGCACGGACGGCTACAACGTGAATTTTGCGTGCGATTTCCCTTTGCAAGCGATTCTTATTTGCGAGCGGTTGCGATGCACATCGACGTGCAATAATATTAACACGTTAAGCGCCACGCCGNATTTTTGCGCCTTTCCGCTTAAGCCACAGTAAGCCGTCAGGCAGGCCCTGCCGGGCCGCGCGCCGATAGGCGAGCCAGAGTATAAACAGATGACGGGTAACGTAACCCGGGTTGAGGACCGGAGCTTGTCTTCGTATGTTTATCTCTCCACTTGCAGCTAAACTGTACTCGAGAGCCTGTCATTTTCTGATCGTAATAAATACTATGTATATACTTTGTTTATATCCTTATAGTCCCTTCTCCTTGGTAGAAGATAAAAAACTGAAAAGCGAGGCCTAATGACGCTCGAACGCGTAAGAAATCCTCAGTTGCATACATATCGTAGCCCAGTTTCGTTGAGTTTCCAAGTTTTCTCGTACTTCTTCTTGACTAGAAATTCAAAATTTTGTTGGCCCAAAAATNAGGATGTCATCAAGTGATACGTCAAGTGAACAAATTTTAGTGCCTACAATTCGTCATCGTCGTGTATTGCGCTCGTCGAGCGATGAAAGTTCATCAGAGAATACGCATGTGGATACTAATCCAACGGGTAATCAAGAATGGTTCGATCCTCGAGGAAATCAACCTATTATAAAAGCTTTTACAAGCGAATGTGGGGTTGACATATCTAATATCACATTACAAAATCGTCGGAATGTGAAAGACTTTTACGCTTTACTGGTGACGGAAGAAATGCTTCAGGAAATAAGCGATCAAACAAATATATATGCAGTGCAAAANCAATCAATGAATGCTTCAAGGCGTATAAATAAGTGGNTCCCTACAAATAAAAATNAAATCGAGCGCTTATTTGGGCTCATCATATGGATGGGATTGGTAAAATATCCAGCGATATATTTATACTGGTCCAGGGATNCGCAATATTATCATCCATTCCCACACAAAGTAATGAGCAGNAACCGATTTGAAATTCTTTTGAGGATGCTTCACTTTTGCAACAATNAAACAGCAGATGTCACCAACCGATTATACAAGATCCAGCCGATTATCGACGAATTGAATAGAAATTTTAAAAAATATTACCATCCGACAGAAGTAATTTGTATTGACGAATCNATGATTCNATTTCGTGGACGAATTATATTCCGACAATACTTGAANCAGAAGAAACATAANTATGGGATCAAAATTTTCAAACTCAGCTGTGGTCTCGGCTACACATATAATTTCAGTGTTTACAGTGGCAAAACTTTCGACAAAGTGAACACGACGTCAACCAATGTAGTTATGAATTTGTGCNAAGGTATACTTCATAAAGGACATACCCTCTGTACCGACAATTGGTACACCAGTGTAAACTTGGCCAAGAAACTGATAAAGAAAGATACTCACTTGATTGAGACACTAAGGAGTAACCGCAAGGATACCCCAAAAGAAGTGGTATTCAAGAAGCTAAAACGGGGGGAATGTGTCGCAAAAGAGAGTAAAGAAGGGATCACAGTTTTGAAGTGGAAAGAGAAGCGTGACGTTNTGTTACTTTCGACCAAACATACACTCCAAATGGAGACCGTTCAAACAAAATCAAAAATTGTTAGTAAACCAACAATTGTTATAGACTATAATGCGGGGAAAAAATCGATTGACCTATCAGATCAAGTTGCTGCATACAGTAATCCATTACGAAAATCGATGAAATGGTATCGAAAATTAGGTTTTGAGTTGTTAATGAACACTGCTGTTGTAAATTCNTTCTTTATATACCAAGAAACAACAGGCCAAACAATGTCTATCACAATGTACCGCAAAAAATTAGTTGACGGACTTATGCAGGAGAACGAGGAACAAGTGGACACCCGTGTAAATCCTCGGCATCACTTGGAAAAAAAAAAGGCAGTGCGCACAAAACTAGAAAATACTGCACCGAATGCTATAATCAAAATACACGAATGTTAGGACCAAAGACAGCTAAAAATATAACGCAAAAAGTAACACCCTTTTGTAACTAATGTACAAAAAAACCTCACCTTTGCATATCTTGTTTTAATAAGTTACATTAATGTTTTTAAGTATTCTATTCTATTCCTTGAAACATGGACCATACAAAAACCGATACCGCATAATTTAAATGTTCACTCTCACAAATACGCAAGGACCGACACACGCGCCGCGATAGAAAAACGAAAAATCTGTCGCCGGTCCCTGCGGACCGGCGTGGTCTGAACGGAAAGTCTAGCGCCGGTCCCTAGGGACCGGCGTGGCGCTTAACGTGTTAAGGCATGCGACTTTTGCTTAACTTTTTTTTTAGCTTTTTCGCGTTTGCGATGCACATCGACGTGCAATAATATTAAGGCATGCTGTAATATTAAAGCGTGCGAATTTTTTCTTTAGTTCTACCACTTTTTTGCATTTGCGATGCACTACTAAGTGCACTAATTTTAAGGCATGCAATTTTTTAAAGCGAGCGATAGGAACCACCGGTCCCTTCCCGCTCCAACCGAAAGAAGATGTCGTCTTGGGCCGTTCACGAAGCACAGGAGATAACGGAAGTAAAGGATACCGTTAGGACATCGACCCACAGGGAAACGATGTCGGGTGGATCTCCTGGTCAGTCTGTTGCGGTCAAGACGAGAACAGTGCGAAGTACGTCCCGTTCCCTGTCTGCCAAGGCGGGGCATGTGGCGAGTAGGCTGAAGACTAGCTACCGCCAAATAACGAGACTGTTAGAGTGTGCCCACCTAAATAGGAAATTGGTCCAAGCAGTAGCAACATCGTTGGTGTCTACAGGCATAGGGCCGGCGACCAGGCTAGCGTGGGCAGAGGACATAAAGAGCGGAGGCGAATTCTCCCCAGATAGCGTCCCGGGCATGGTCACAGCACCCAAAGTGACCCTAATAACCTGAGCGGGGTTGGTGGATGACGTTTCCGACGGCGATGGCAATTCTGTAATTTTTCCAGGGTTGCTGGATTCGGGCAGAGAAGTCTTGAGCCAGGGTGAGCTCGAGGGGACCTATGTTTATACTCGGTGCCACTGGTGCTGGGTCTTCCCTCGTGCCAGCCCGGGTTTGTCCAATCTATCTCTTCCATGAGCTACGGGGGGAGAAGAATGTGCCATCTGAGCACGAGCCCACCTCCAGACGAGCGTGGGATGATTGTGTCGGTAGGTAGGTATAGCTCTGCCTGCCTGCCCACGGGTGGATGGGGTTGGTTGGAGGCGTGCGCCCAAATCCACAACAAAGAACAGCACGCCTTAAACGGGAATATAGACAGGGTGGAGTCAGGTGGTAGTAGAGAGTCAACCGTCACCCACCTGGGGTACGTTCCAAAATCCTACTTTGGTTACCATAGACCGTTCCAAAACCTTTGTGGTAGTTCTACGGTAGACTGGTAATAGTGTTCCAAAACACTTAGGTTGGTCGACCACGAGTTAACTTTTATGACCACTCAAAATTGAGAGGTTGTGAAAGTTACCCATTCGAAAAGGCGGGAAAAGTGCAGTTAGCATGTTAGGCTAATATTACATTTGTCGTACGACAAAGTTTTTAAGTGTGTTGATTGCTGTTGGATAGAATATCCAAAAAGATTTAGAATTTCTTAATTTTGTAGCCAATCAACATACTTAAAAAATTTGTCGTACGACAAATGTAATATTAGTCTTATATAAGCATAATTGAACTTCAAATAGATGTAGAGGTTTTGATAGTCTGATATATTTTTATATTTTTATTTATAGATTTTGAAAAGAAACTNCAATGTACCGCAAAAAATTAGTTGACGGACTTATGCAGGAGAACGAGGAACAAGTGGACACCCGTGTAAATCCTCGGCATCACTTGGAAAAAAAAAAGGCAGTGCGCACAAAACTAGAAAATACTGCACCGAATGCTATAATCAAAATACACGAATGTTAGGACCAAAGACAGCTAAAAATATAACGCAAAAAGTAACACCCTTTTGTAACTAATGTACAAAAAAACCTCACCTTTGCATATCTTGTTTTAATAAGTTACATTAATGTTTTTAAGTATTCTATTCTATTCCTTGAAACATGGACCATACAAAAACCGATACCGCATAATTTAAATGTTCACTCTCACAAATACGCAAGGACCGACACACGCGCCGCGATAGAAAAACGAAAAATCTGTCGCCGGTCCCTGCGGACCGGCGTGGTCTGAACGGAAAGTCTAGCGCCGGTCCCTAGGGACCGGCGTGGCGCTTAACGTGTTAAGGCATGCGACTTTTGCTTAACTTTTTTTTTAGCTTTTTCGCGTTTGCGATGCACATCGACGTGCAATAATATTAAGGCATGCTGTAATATTAAAGCGTGCGAATTTTTTCTTTAGTTCTACCACTTTTTTGCATTTGCGATGCACTACTAAGTGCACTAATTTTAAGGCATGCAATTTTTTAAAGCGAGCGATAGGAACCACCGGTCCCTTCCCGCTCCAACCGAAAGAAGATGTCGTCTTGGGCCGTTCACGAAGCACAGGAGATAACGGAAGTAAAGGATACCGTTAGGACATCGACCCACAGGGAAACGATGTCGGGTGGATCTCCTGGTCAGTCTGTTGCGGTCAAGACGAGAACAGTGCGAAGTACGTCCCGTTCCCTGTCTGCCAAGGCGGGGCATGTGGCGAGTAGGCTGAAGACTAGCTACCGCCAAATAACGAGACTGTTAGAGTGTGCCCACCTAAATAGGAAATTGGTCCAAGCAGTAGCAACATCGTTGGTGTCTACAGGCATAGGGCCGGCGACCAGGCTAGCGTGGGCAGAGGACATAAAGAGCGGAGGCGAATTCTCCCCAGATAGCGTCCCGGGCATGGTCACAGCACCCAAAGTGACCCTAATAACCTGAGCGGGGTTGGTGGATGACGTTTCCGACGGCGATGGCAATTCTGTAATTTTTCCAGGGTTGCTGGATTCGGGCAGAGAAGTCTTGAGCCAGGGTGAGCTCGAGGGGACCTATGTTTATACTCGGTGCCACTGGTGCTGGGTCTTCCCTCGTGCCAGCCCGGGTTTGTCCAATCTATCTCTTCCATGAGCTACGGGGGGAGAAGAATGTGCCATCTGAGCACGAGCCCACCTCCAGACGAGCGTGGGATGATTGTGTCGGTAGGTAGGTATAGCTCTGCCTGCCTGCCCACGGGTGGATGGGGTTGGTTGGAGGCGTGCGCCCAAATCCACAACAAAGAACAGCACGCCTTAAACGGGAATATAGACAGGGTGGAGTCAGGTGGTAGTAGAGAGTCAACCGTCACCCACCTGGGGTACGTTCCAAAATCCTACTTTGGTTACCATAGACCGTTCCAAAACCTTTGTGGTAGTTCTACGGTAGACTGGTAATAGTGTTCCAAAACACTTAGGTTGGTCGACCACGAGTTAACTTTTATGACCACTCAAAATTGAGAGGTTGTGAAAGTTACCCATTCGAAAAGGCGGGAAAAGTGCAGTTAGCATGTTAGGCTAATATTACATTTGTCGTACGACAAAGTTTTTAAGTGTGTTGATTGCTGTTGGATAGAATATCCAAAAAGATTTAGAATTTCTTAATTTTGTAGCCAATCAACATACTTAAAAAATTTGTCGTACGACAAATGTAATATTAGTCTTATATAAGCATAATTGAACTTCAAATAGATGTAGAGGTTTTGATAGTCTGATATATTTTTATATTTTTATTTATAGATTTTGAAAAGAAACTGTTGTTTTTTTTCATCAGCATGACAAATAATATTAATAACATCATACTTGAAAAAGGACGACATTCTATAACTCTTGACGAAAATAAACAACCAACTAGAGGTGAAAATAATGGTATATTGGTGTTTGATAAAATAGGTAAGTAGTTTTAGTTATTTAGTTATTTAGTTTAAATATAAANGAATTATCTGTAAATCATGTATGTATTATTGGTATGTTTTCCAGAAAATATGCTTATTGAAGTGCCATTCTCANCAGAGATTGCATCATTTTTTAATCTCTCAAATGAAACACAAGTAACTCCCGAATATGATCCATGTAAGTAATATAAAGTTTATTATTTTTTTAATTTTTTATTATAATATCAGTTTTCACATATAAAGCATTACTATATAAATTTTTTACTATTTTTTATTTTAGATGTATATTCGAGTGACANTAACAATGCCAGCTCATCAAATGCAAGTATGTAAAGAAAAGCAAATTTATTTTCTATGTATATATGTATATGTGCTTATTTATTTAGTATAAATATATTATGCTTTTAATATTGCTATATATTTTTTTGTGCTATATAATTTATTTATATATTACTATATAATTTTTTCCTATTTTTTATTTTAGACTTATATTTGAGTGACAGTACCAATTCCAGCTCCAGTGGAAGTATGTAAAAAAAAGCAATATTATTTTCTATGTATATATTTGTTTATTTAGTATTACTACATTATTCTTTTATTATGTATTTAATATTATAGTAGAGTAATATATTATACTCTTAATATATATATATATATTAATTTGGTTATTAATTGCTTTTCAGTTAAATGGGATGATAAAGCTGTAAAACTTCTTTTTGCATTATATAAAGATTATGAAAATGATTTTAAAAGTACTTCCATTAAAAATGATGTAGTGTGGGATACAATTAAAAATAAAATGATGATTGATGGAGGTTACAATTTTACAAAAACACAGATAAAAGATAAATGGATGAATATGCGTAAAAGTTATATGAGAGTTAAAGATCATAACAAACAAACAGGTGCTCCACTTAAAACAT